AAAGCACATTTACTACTTGTAAAACCGGTGCCACTTGTTCCTAATTGATTAAAACTCTAGGTTATTAGACACCAACTGAAGTGATGAACCTATATAAGTCTATGTACGTAGAATAAAACAATGGACAATTTTGTTGCAATGTTTGGAAATGCAAAAAGGAATATTTGACCATCAAGTTGCAGCCTGCCCTTGCGAAACGGAAGAATCTTGTGCATTTTTCGTTCTTACTATACCAAATCAAAGACTTCAAAATTAAGAAAAATAAGGAAGCATCGGTGTAACTCCTTATATGATCGATACCCATTATTTTTTAGTTTGCTGTTAATAGCTGCTATAAAAATTATTTATAATAAAACCAAAATAATTAATAAATAGTACCAAATAAATAATACCAATTTTCAAATAACTAAAGATATCTTTTAACTAACTAAATTATCCAAAATTTAAATCTTGACTATAAGGATGAAATAAATTAAATTAAAAAGAAATATATGTGTGTGTTTAGTATTTTTAATCAAGATTGTCATTATTTCTTATGGTCAATACTTGGTATCAATATCATATTTATTAAAAAAAACTGAAAATAAGATTTAATGATGTACAATTTAGATTTTAATAATCTTAAAATTTATTATATATTTATATTTTATTGTATTTTAATCATGAATTTTAAACTGACTGACTATATTCTATATAATTTTCGTGTAATTAAAGTGACCTTTTTTGCTCCACAATTTAATGAAATGATATTAAAAAAGCTACATCCACACTCTATAAAATTGATTCCGGGAATTTATTTCTTGGCCGTCATTATCCCAATGACCACCACATGGGGTTTGTTAACAGGAAAACACTGAAAATGTTTTTCATTGATGAAATGTGATTTTTTTTTTCTTTCTAGAATATCACATACTCTAATGATTTTTTTTTATATAAAATAATTTTTGATTGATGATATGTAATTTTGGCACATTTTAATAATACAGAATACGTGGGGACTCCATGGTTTTGTGGCAGCTTCGTGATGGGCGCAGAAATGAGAAACCCAATTCTATATTTTTCCACGAAGTGTCATGTCATGGTCAAGACACCAGTCTTCCATGGGTAAAGCTTTAAGGTTTCGTTGACCTTATTGTCATGTCTTGACACTTTTGCTGAAATCTGACGTACCATAATACTATTTTTATTTATTTATTATTATTATCATCACAGTCTATAACATTAATCTATATCATTAATAAAGAGATGTATTATTTTAATGTTCATATTTTTTTACTCTTTAATTAATTTATTTAATTATATTTGTATTTTTTAATTAATTTATTTAATTATCTTATTATTTTTTGAAATTAACTATACATTCATTTTAATTTCATTATTTTTTTATTTTTTTATTTTTTATGACGAGACGCAAAATATATTATTTTCATTTATTATAGTAATTATAATAATAATAAGCGAATAGTAACACTAAAATATATTGTTTAACAAAAGCGACTACAATATTTTATCTATTGATTAACATGTTCTTATCAATAAATAGTATATTTTAAAAAAAATAAAATAAAATAAAAAATAATAATAAATTTCGACTTTTCAGTTTGGGAATTCTTATTTTGCTTTCTCCATTCGTATCAATATTTTATTAACTGATTATAGAATGCTTTTCCTTTTCATTTGTTAAAACAATTTCAAATATATATCTTTTATTTAATATATTTTTAATTATCGGCAATTAATTAATTTAATATTATTTTATAAGTAGTACTAATACTAAAAAATATTTTAAAAATTGTATGACAAATTAATTAATTAATTTTTTTTAGTTTAATCTAATTAATGAAGGTTTTTGTGAATATGATTGAAGGAAATTAAATGACTTTCAAAATTCACCTGGCGTGTAGTTATTTGACATGTGGCTATATTTAAGCAGCCAATAAAAGGCGTGATTATGTGGAGTGGAGGCTAGCTAATTGTATTGGATTATTTCCACGTCAACATGAACATGCATGGTGGACTATAACATTGGTCAAAGTATAACTTAGGTCATTGGTTAAAACTTAAAATCCTTCATATGGCGACTGGTTCATGTATTTCAAAGGTCTTAATTAATCGTCATATCACAGTTTGCAGCAGTGATTACTGTTGCAGCTAAGCCAGCAGTGATTATTAGGAACTGCATATGTATCGATCTATAACTATATATATAAAATAATTCTTTGTCCCATATACTTTTTAGTTTTTAATTTTTAATTTTATTTTGAAACTACTCTTTTATACATCATTATTTTCTTATCTTGCAAATTTCATATTATAAATCATCTACCCTTTTCAAATAATTATCCAACTCCGTTATTTGTTTTTGTTTTACTTTTTTTGTTTTTTTTTTTTAACAAAACTTACATATCTTTCAAATAACTACTCATTTTTTGCTTCTTATTTTCTAAAACAAGAAAGGCAGTCAGTGCATTTTTTTGCTAGTATGTTTTAAAAGTGATTGCTCGACCAAACTTTGCTAGTTCACAAGTAGTTAAATAATGTAACATACGTCAATTTGTAGTTTAAATAATGTAATATACATATATTTGAATTAATATAATAAAATATTAAATATTTTTCAATTTATAAAAAATTGTAGACTTAATTTATTTAATTTTAAAAAAAAATTTAATTTAATGATTAAATTATTAATATTTAATTAGATCATAAATTGTTGGGTCAAATAAATTTATAAAATATTATTCTTAGTTTTATTTTCATACAACAAAAAAAGATTTCATTGAGTGAGAGGATAAAAGGTAAAGGGGTGCTCAATCCAAACAAGCTTTTATCTACATGTAAGTATATCTCATGTAATCGAAACATATCCCCTCTCTTTAAGTAAGTCATCCATATTACAAACAAAATTATCTTAAAGTACTTATAATTGAAACAAATAGCTTACAACCAAACGTGATTTTACTCAAGAAATGCTATCAAATCCATTACTTTTACGGTGTACACCTTTATACTATCAACAACAATAAATGTCCCTCTTCAATTAATGATAAAAAATATGCAGACTCTAAAGTTTACCTATGCATTGGCCAAAGCTAAAATCAACATATTTTCTTTTTTTATTGAATCTCAACCTGGCTCAAGATATGAACATTATGTCTTGTAATAGTTTTAATCTATAAAAATTTCTTTCTTTGAATACAAAATTGTTTTTATATCCCATAAGTTTCAAATAACTGTGCACCACATGACCTTTTATCTATCTCTTATGTTAAAAGGGGAAGAGTATGATAATTAGTTGAAAGTTGAACAAAAGTTACAGGTAAAACAGTTAAAAATGTTATATACAGTATACAGTTTATGTTAAATATAATATTAATTATTTTGTGTTTAAATATAATGAAGTTTATGGTTACGAATATTGCATGGTCGAAAGGAACAAATCGATAGCGATGCATATATTCTTTCATCAATTGAGAAAAGGTATTTGACGGCGAACTGTTAACTGTTCATCTGGTTTTAGAGCTTTGAAAATGTCAAACACAGCTTTGAATGTCGAACTTTCGCCGAAATCTTGTTATTCTTATTCATGTAATTTAATACATACTTTAAATTAGGCACTTTATTATTTAGTCTTAAATAAATTCATGTAAGAATTAATTTAAACTGTCGTCGTTAATTCTATTATAGATTGATATTAATATTACTGAAACGATGCAATCATTCAAATGTGTTTATGTATGTTTGATTTTTTTTGGTAAAGTTTTTTTTTTTTTTTTGGTAAAGTATGTATGTTTGATTTAGTAATATGTTATTACATACAATTTAATGTTTTTAATAACACATATGTTATTGAATTTTTAAATAAAGAATTAATTAATTAAAATGACGCATTTATTATATATATATATATATATATATATATATATATATATTCTCAATCATTTTTCAAGATTTTTTTTTGGTTAAAATTCGTAAATCTAACTTAGAGATGATTGATGTCCAAGAGCCATGCATACTACTTTGTTACCATAATTAAGCCCAACATATTTTAAAATACTAGTACATGGTTTAGGTTGAAACTTCGCGAGCCAGATTTCATACACAGCAAGTATATATATATATATATATATATTCTTAATCACGGTGTCAAAAGAAAATATTCTTAATTCCCAAAAATGTATTAATTTTTATTTGACCTCCTATAATTTTTTTATTTAATTTCGGTCCATTTATTAAATTTTTTTACTTTTGACTGTTAATTAATAATATTCTATTAAGTGATGATATGATAACAAAATGCAACAGTCACAATTTTATGAATTAAAATTTTGGATTAAATATATATTTAATTGATGCAAATATTTTTATTTAATTTTAATTTATTTTTAAAACAATTATTTTGCATATGAAAATCTTTTATAGTTTAGAAAATAATTGGGTTCACATGGGGAAATGACAATGTTAATTTACCAACAAAAGTAATTTATAAATCATTTGAAACAAGTATGTACTTCCCACGTAAGTACATTATACGTATCATCCATGCACCGATAGTGTAGTTTTCTCATTTTTAATACTTCCGAAGACCATGCATGCAGAAAAGTCATAGAGTCACCACTTCGAAATTTCAACCTATGTGCAGTCCTTGTCAATAACGAACAAATCCAAAACTTTTAGCCAGCCTCCATATATATAATGACACGTTTAATTTTCCTGCTAAATTATTGCAACATGTCAATTAATTATCAGGTCAAAGACCATCCGCAGATTGAAAGACCAAGAAAAGCATAAGCCATATTTGATATTTCTGACAATCATTTTGCTAATAACTTCAATTAGATGGCTAAATTCTGTATATATAATTCCAAAAATACCCTTCCCACCTTACTCTATATAAAGGCATACGATTAATAAATGAAACACAATCCACTTCCATTCAATCAAACCCTTATCATCATTCATTTCCAATTATCAAATATTGTTCAAGTCATTGTTTAAGGCTAAAGAAAGCTAGTTAACAAGAAACCATGACATTTTTCCGTTTGTTGATCCTAACACTATTACTTCCTTTCCTATACTCCACTTTTGTTTCAAGCTATTCTTTGAATGATGTTAAACTTTGGTGCAGCCAAACCCCAAACCCTCAACCATGTGAGTATTTCTTGACCAATAACCCCACTCAACAATTCAAACCCATCAACCATAAATCTGATTTCCTCAAACTTTCATTGCTACTTGCTCAAGAGAGAGCACTGAAAGGCCATGCAAACACTCTATCACTTGGCTCAAAATGTCGTAACCCTCGTGAAACAGCTGCATGGGCTGATTGTGTTGAGCTTTACGAACAAACCATCCATAAACTCAACAAAACCCTAGACCCTAACACCAAGTGCTCCCAAGTTGATACCCAAACATGGCTCAGCACAGCTCTCACCAACCTTGAGACATGCAAAGCTGGGTTCTATGAGCTTGGGGTTCAAGACTATGTGCTACCTCTTATGTCCAACAATGTTACTAAGTTGTTGAGCAACACCTTGGCACTTAACAAAGTTGAGTATCAAGAACCAAGTTACAAAGATGGGTTCCCAACATGGGTGAAGCCAGGTGATAGAAAGTTGTTGCAAGCTTCTTCTCCAGCTTCTAGGGCTAATGTAGTGGTGGCAAAAGATGGGTCTGGAAAGTACACAACGGTGAGTGCAGCCATAACTGCAGCACCAAAGAGTAGCAGTGGAAGGTATGTGATATATGTGAAGGCTGGTGTATACAATGAACAAGTTGAGATAAATGCAAATAACATAATGTTGGTTGGAGATGGTATTGGAAAGACCATAATCACAGGTAGCAAAAGCGTTGGAGGAGGCACCACAACCTTCCGTTCAGCCACTGTTGGTAATTAAGCTATAAAAACTTTCCTATAGTAACACATTTTCATTATTTATATATCCATATCTTATTCATCAAAAGAAATTGAAAAAAAATTGGGTTATTCAATGATTAAGTTCTTAACTAGTATGAATTTTTGCAGCTGTTGTTGGAGATGGGTTTATAGCACAAGACATCACATTTAGAAACACTGCTGGTGCAGCAAACCATCAAGCCGTTGCATTGCGTTCAGGATCAGACTTATCAGTGTTTTATAGATGTAGCTTTGAAGGTTACCAAGACACACTTTATGTGTATTCGGATAGACAATTCTACAGAGAATGTGACATATATGGCACTGTTGACTTCATCTTTGGCAATGCTGCTGTGGTGTTCCAAAGTTGTAACCTATATGCAAGGAACCCTCCAAACAAAGTTAACACAATCACTGCTCAAGGAAGAACCGATCCAAACCAGAACACTGGCATTTCCATTCACAATTCAAAGGTTACTGCAGCCTCTGACTTGAAGGGAGTTGAGAGCTCAGTGAAGACGTACCTTGGAAGGCCATGGCAAGAATATTCTAGAACAGTTTTCATGAAGACTTATCTCGATAGTTTGATTGATCCAGCGGGTTGGATGGAATGGAGTGGTAACTTTGCATTAAACACATTGTACTATGGAGAATACATGAACACAGGAGCAGGTTCCTCAACTTCAAACCGAGTTAAATGGTCAGGTTATCATGTCATTACAAGTGCTTCTGAAGCCTCAAAATTCACCGTTGCAAATTTCATTGCTGGAAACTCCTGGTTGCCCTCCACTGGCGTGCCTTTCACCTCAACTCTTTAAATTTTATTATTTCTTGTCTCTTGATTAATTACTTTTATTTCCTTTATTGTGTATTTTTTAATTTTTATTTTCCCAATCTTGTACTAGCTAATACATTTGCAAAACATATTTTTAGTTTTAGATAAATAAATATCTTTTAGTTGGATTGATTTCATTTTTTGTTAGGATGTATCGGTGCGCATATACTTCTTTATAAATTGAAGAAGCAAAAAAGTTTTCTTATTAAATTAATAAATATCTTAAATTTGTGTTTTCTGATAATGAAGTCATTACTAGCATACGAAATGGTAAAATAGCCGTAAAAATTTTAAAATTGGCAATCTTAGGCCGACGCTTGAATATTTTTTTTTTCTTTTTAAAGTTTGTCTCGGCCTAAAAGAGAGATCATAAATGTGTATGAGCCTTTCTTGGTCTAAAATAAAAACTACACTTGTACACATAAAAGTCTCAACAAATATATAGCAATTCACGCTTTTAATATTCGATTAATATCTCTAATATTATTAGTTTATATATGATCAGTATAACGTCCACTATGTTTAATTCGTCTGTATTATAGCATTGCAAAAATGGTATTGATATATTTGACATATATAAAATAAGGAGTTATTTAAGTAACCGGCATACAAAAACTTGTTAGATCAGATTTGTAGTGTTAAGGGCAAAAAATATGGGTTTTGGATTATAGATAGTGGTGGTTACGATTTTGAAAAAAATTAATGACTATAATTTATCAGAAAGTCTAAGATTTAGGATTCAATATTCACTAGTACAAAAGAGGTATTTCACGTCGGTTATTTTGAGCTTTTTACGTCAGAAAAGTTACCAACGTTGAAATGGGAGACATAAATTTACGTCGGTATTATAAGGTCCGACATAAATTTACATCGGCATTTGTAAGGTCCGACGTAAAAAAGTAGCAAAAAATAAAAATTAAAAAATAACGAGTGCAAGCAGAACGGCCCGTTCTGCTTGGAGAACGGTCCGTTCTGCTTGCAGAACGGCCCGTTCCAGATGCAGAAGAAACGAGAGGGTGCAGATCGAGCCAGCTCCACGCCAACATGCTACTGACGTTTAGGTAATGCGGGTAGGTTGGTTCTCTCCATCTATGAAATTGCATTTGACTCACCACCAACAAATTTAAAATAATAATATTCAAAAAAAATGAAGAAAAGAACGTGAAGATGGAAACAGGAAAAGGAAATGAAAAATACAAAAGGAAACGTACCGTTCTCACAAACGTAGCTACCAGAGCTCCAAAAGGCGCAGAAAACCTTTTTTAAAGAAGGTAAAACCTAGCTACAACTTAGCATGTTATTTAAAGAAGGTAAAACCTTTTTTACGTCGGGTATAATAATGTCTGACGTAAAATATAAAATTTACGTGAAACATTAAGTAGTTCCGACGAAGATTTTACATTTTACGTCAGACCTTATTAAGTCCGACGTAAAAAAGTCCACAAAAATTACAAAAATGTCAACGTGTCTTTTTTACGTCGTATTTTGTTTTGACCGAGGAGAAAATAGTGACGTACAAAACTATTTTTCTACCTAGTGATTGACATTCAAAATGCTCTATTCACAGAATTTTTGGCTGCAACCAAAACTATGGAAATAACACATAAGAAAGGTTGTAAACAATTCTAATTGGAGTGTGATTCACAACTAATGGTTTCAGCCTTCAAAGATCACAATCTAGTTCCCTGGCAAATTAGGAATAGATGGAAAAACATGGCTTGTCTTACTAATTCAATGACTTTCATTGTAAGACACATTTTCTGTGCAGGTAATACTTATGAAGATAAACTTGTGTCTCATGATACTTCTGGATATGACCATGTTGGTGGGATTATACACCATTTGATGTGCTATGGTATGGTGTATTTGGAGACATAAGAATGTATCTTTATATAAAAGTCAAGTTTTTTATTCTAACAAATTAATATAGGACTTTTGTTATTTTCATGGGCTTCACTAATTAAAGGAATTGACAAAGAACTTCACATACTCCTTTGATTAATGACAAAACTCACCTAAAATTTGTTTATGTAATTGAATTATATTTTATTAGGTTTAGTTGGGATGATTGATATTTTTTATTTATTATTTGTTGGAATGTGATAATTACTTTTGTACTTCTAGGTACTTCTAGTGCCTAATTATTAATAAATTTTTTTGTTGACCAAAAAAAAAAAATATACACCATTTGCATCTTCTCTCTTTGTTCAGGATAGACTTGCTTTTCCCTATTATAGGTTTTGATAGTGTTGCTTTTTTGTTTTTATAGTGAGTTTGGCTTCTTTCTTTTGTACCTTCTCTTTGCCTGATTTATATGATTGGTCTTTACTGTCTTGAGTTACTGTTTACTTCGGTGCCGAAAAATTATCTGGAGGTTTATGATCATAAACATATGAAACAAAAGAGAGAAAATGACAGTTATCTATAAAATGAATAAATTGGATATTAATTTATATTGAGAGAATGACAAAACTGAGTAGAGTTTGTAAGGAACAAATCTCATAAGGAAGCAAGTACGATTTCTATCATTGATCGATGAGAAGAGTTCATTGATAAGTAATTTTTAAATATTATATATATATATATATATATATATATATATATAATGATAAATCTACATTTATTACTATATTTTAATTTTTTTAGCAATATTTTTCTACTTATATTTATTAAAATGTTATTATATATTGAATAAATGAGTTATTTTGTAGTATTTCTTTTTAAAGATATTACTATAGATAGAGTAATATTTTTATTTTAATAAAATTTTTCTAATTATTTTTAAATAATCAAAATTCTATATTGAGTGAAAAAATGTCATATAAATTATTTTACAATATTTTTTTTGAAAAATGTTACTGTAGATAAGTAACATTTTTTTTATCTCAATATTATTCTTTTTAATTACTTTTAAAATCAAAATCTCACATTGAATAAAAAAAATTACACAGAGAGTATATTTTTATTTGTTTTTCATAATTAAAATCTCACATCCAATAAATGAATGATTGATTATATATAATGATATAGTAATACTAAAAGGTAAATAAACTTTAATATCTAATATATAATTACTGGTGACTAATTAAGAATATCTTTAAATTTTTTTCTCAAAGAACATGTAGGAGTTTACAAGACATAAGGTACTATAATTGATAATAACACTACATTAAAACCAATTATTATTTTATATAGTTAACAAAAACTTAATAATATCATTAAAATGTTACAAAAATATCTCTTTGATAACATTTGAAAAATACTATTTAATTATGTAAAAATATTATTAAAAATCTTTAACAATATAAAATATATACAACATTTCGATATTATATTGTAAAAATAAATTATCAACATTTATACATAATTAGATAACATTTTCTAAATGTTACTAAAATATCTATGTTATAATGATTATTGTTTACTAGACTATGTATAAGTTGGAGTACCCTTAATACTCTAATTAATTTATTTTTTCTTATAAAAGAATATTTATGATTTATTCTCTCTCTTTCTCTCTCTCTCTCTCTCTATATATATATATATATATATGAGGAGGGTTCAAACGAAATCGGTGTAATTTTTACTAAGTGTTACACGATTTGAAAAATACTATTTAATTATGTAAAAATATTATTAAAATTCTTTAACAATATAAAATATATACAACTTTTTAATATTATATTGTAAAATAAATTATCAACATTTATACATAATTAGATAACATTTTCCAAATGTTACTAACATATCTATGTTATAATGATTATTGTTTACTAGACTATATATGTATAAGTTGGAGTACTCTTAGTACTCTAATTAATTTAATTTTGCTTATAAAAGAATATTTATGATTTATTCTCTCTCTTTCTCTATATATATATATATGATGAGTATTAATTTTTCAAAAAAAATTTGTTTTCACTAACTTAAGGTTTTTTTATCCACCGCGGACACATAAGTAACTGTAATTGAGTTTTAAAACTAAACTATAAAAGCATGCAAATTAATTTGTGCCGTCAAGCGTCAACCGCGAAATACCATGCGAAAAACTATGAAAGCAAATTAATATGTACATATTATAAGTTAAGTGAAAATAACATATTTTCCTTGAAAGTTCTCATATTCCTCAAGTTGTTAAATAATTGACATTCTGAAACTCTCTAACCAGTAAAACACCATGTGCCATACGTCAACTACGAAATACTTCACAATTCATGAATCCCTGAGTGCCCATACCACTTTTAATTTCTCCATTGCACCTATCTTTGTTATTAGAAATAAATCGCCATATTATCAACCCACACTGATAACAAAATTAAAGAATTATTTTTTTAAGTATTTTCTACTTCTAATCTCTATATTCATAGCTATATATATTTATTTCACATGCAATTTTTTTCCCAGTTATCAGCATCTACTTGCATTAATTTGCTGGTGAAAGTGTTGTTTAATTTAATTATAAAAAAGCCAGGTTGATGGGGAAATGAAAAATTTAATTCGTCAACATAAATAATTTGAATTAATCATTTGAAACAAGGATAAATGCACTATTCCCACGTGCACATCATCCACCGATAATGTAGTTTTAATTAGTTTTTTTTTTTTTTTTTTACACCAAGTTTTAATCATTGTTAAGCATTCACAAACCATGTACAAACGCCATCCAGTCGCGAATTCGAATTTCAACCAATGTGCTAGTCCTTTGCATGTGGATAACGACCGTATCCAAAACTATTAGCCACCAACTCCATAAAAGGCAACACGTAACAAAACGAAAAAGAACACTATAACGACGCGTTTTATTTGGCTGCTACAACGTTGCCATGAAAAGTCAATGACTCTAAGCAGATTGAAAGTCAAAGACATGCATGCATATAAAACCCATATTTCTTCTAATCATTGTGCTAACAACTTTGACGTTGATTGCAATAGAACCGATATATAGTGATTTGCATATTTAATTAGTTATTAATTATCACTAACAAAAGAATACGCATGCATGGCCATGGAGAAGCAAAAAGCGACAAGCAAAAGGAAAAATAAAAAGCAGAAATCAAAGTTCAGCCACGGATGGCTATATTCCTTATAATTCCAAAACTACCCTTCTCAGCTTCATCTATATAAAGGCATACGATTAAGAAATGAAACACATTCCACTTCCGTTCTATCAAACCCTTCTCTCACGTATTCATAATCTTCATCACTCACAATCAATTTTCCAAGTAATATTTGTTAAAGCCCTATAGTAGTCTGGTTAATTAACCAGAAACCATGAATGCTTTTCACTTGCTTCTGACACTATTTATTCCTTTCCTATTCTCCACTTTTGTTTCTGGTTATTCTTGGAATGACGTTAAGCTTTGGTGCAACCAAACCCCAAACCCTCAACCATGTGAGTATTTCTTGACCAATAACCCCACTTACCAATACAAACCCATTAAGCAAAAATCTGATTTTCTCCAACTTTCATTGCAACTTGCTCAAGAGAGAGCACTCAAGGGCCATGCAAAAACTCTTTCACATGGTTCAAAGTGCCGAAACCCTCGTGAAAGGCTTGCTTGGGCTGATTGTGTTGAGCTTTACGAGCAAACTATCCAAAAACTGAACGAAACCTTAAACCCTAACACCAAGTGCTCCCAAGTTGATGCCCAAACATGGCTCAGCACAGCTCTCACTAACCTTGAGACATGCAAAGCTGGGTTCTACGAGCTTGGGGTTCAAGACTATTTGCTACCTCTTATGTCCAACAATGTTACTAAGTTGTTGAGCAACACCTTGGCACTTAACAAAGTTCAATATCAAGAACAAGGTTACAAAGATGGTTTCCCAACATGGGTGAAGCCAGGTGATAGAAAGTTGTTGCAAGCTTCTTCTCCAGCTTCTAGGGCTAATGCTGTGGTGGCAAAAGATGGGTCTGCAAAGTACACAACGGTGAGTGCAGCCGTAAATGCAGCACCAAAGAGTAGCAGTGGAAGGTATGTGATATATGTGAAGGCTGGTGTATACAATGAACAAGTTGAGATAAAAGCAAAGAATATAATGTTGATTGGAGATGGTATTGGAAAGACCATAATCACAGGTAGTAAAAGTGTTGGAGGAGGCACCACAACCTTCCGTTCAGCCACTGTTGGTAAGTTTATTAGTTTTCATCTATATTATATATGGTTTTGAAAGAAAAATATATACAAAAAATAAGTAAATATTTGATAGTAATAAAAATGAAAGTTAACGAAAAAGTATGATTTGTTAGTTTTTTAATCATAATTTCAAAATTTTGTTATATATCCTAAACAAAATAACACTTCTTGATAATAATCCAAAAATCTTGTAAATGTAAAAAAAATTATAGTTATGAAAAGAGACTTTACTATTAAAAGAAGTCAAATTTTTCACCAAAAATAATTATATACATTGATGTAATACTTTACTCAAATAACATAGTTATCCAGGAAGAAAAAACAATCTAAAGATTATAATTTGAGTTTTACTAGTATATTATCAAAGAAATGGGAAAAAAGATTATAAGTAGTCCATTGAAAAGAAAAAGGATTATAATCATATATTACGTTCTATACAAAACATGCACTTGCTAAAGTAAACTAAACACGTGTATGAACTTTTGCAGCTGTCGTTGGGGATGGATTTATTGGTCAAGGTATCACATTTAGGAACACCGCTGGTGCAAAAAACCACCAAGCAGTTGCATTGCGTTCTGGATCAGACTTGTCAGTATTTTACAAATGCAGTTTTGAAGGTTACCAAGACACGCTATATGTCCACTCTGACAGACAATTCTATAGGGAATGTAACATCTATGGCACAGTTGACTTCATATTTGGCAATGCTGCTGTTGTGTTCCAAAACTGTAACATATTTGCAAGAAACCCTCCCAACAAAGTCAACACCATCACTGCTCAAGGAAGAACCGATCCAAACCAAAACACTGGCATTTCCATTCACAATTCTAGGGTTACTGCTGCCTCGGATTTGAAACCAGTTCAAAACTCAGTTAAGACTTATCTTGGAAGGCCTTGGAAGCAATATTCTAGAACAGTTTTCATGAAGACTTATCTTGATGGTTTGATCAATCCAACGGGTTGGTTAGAATGGAATGGTAACTTTGCATTAAGAACTTTGTACTATGGAGAATACATGAACACTGGACCAGGGTCTTCTACTGCTAGAAGAGTTAACTGGCCTGGTTATCGTGTGATAACTAGAGCTTCAGAAGCATCAAAATTCACTGTTGGAAATTTCATCGCAGGAAACGCATGGTTACCTGCCACCAAAGTGCCTTTTACCCCAACTCTGTAATTTAAGCAATATGTTTGTTATTTGTTGATTGTTTGATTAATTAGTTTCATTTCTTTCATTTGTTGAAGTGTTAATTAAAATAATGTTGACCTAGTTTGCTGATACAATTGGAAACTTTGTACAATTTATAAATAGCTAGCTTTATGTTGTTGTGGGTTGGATTTCTTAAATTTTGGAAGTTTGTATTGAGACATATTCCTCAACTGTAACAAGTTAATATATATACAATTAAACTTTTTTTTTCGTATTTGATAGGAAATTGTTCACAGGCAAGTTAATTCTCATGATAGGAGTTATAGTTGGGTAAAACCCTTCTAAGAATAGATAGTCATCAATTTTTGAACTTTTAATGTTGCAGATAAAAAAAGCTCTAACCTCACAATAAACTTCTACTCTTGGATAAATTTGAGTGAGAGACTAAAATGAATTCAATGGTATAAAAAAGATAGAAATAAAGAAAACATAATTTGAAATTTCAGCATTTATAGATATTTAATTTCAAACAATTTTTTATAATTACATATCGTGTTATTAAAAAAAATTGTTCAATTTGAAGATATTTAATTGAACTTTATATATAAAGGTAAATGGATTTCAATAGAATATTAAGTAATAGTAAATAATTATTTAGGAGAAACCATTAACTTAAAATTATAATATCATGAAAGAAATAATTAAAATTATTTTCTTTAACAATAAGCTTAGTAAATTAAATTTTATTAATCTTATAATCTATGTACATAAATTTCATAGCTCAAAATTAATAAATAAATTATTTATAATTTAATTCAGTTAAGACAGTGGTAAAAATATTTATAAGATAAATATATTGATTAAAAGATTTCAAACCAATCGATAATAAAATACTATTCAACAATGAAAATAAAACTCGTAGTTATTTTTTTAAAAAAATAATATTTATATTATCGTTACTTAGCTACAGAAAGCTATAAAAAAAATAAAAATAAGATAAACATTATTGATGATGTTTTTATTAAAAACTAAGAAATATATTTTTATAATTTAATAGCTATTAAAAGATGATTCTATAAGTATCATTATCCTAATTTTAAAAAAAATAACAATAAAACTAAATATAATAATATCTTAAAAAATTATATTGGATAGTTCTATTTCATGTAAAACTATCCATATAATTTTTTAATTATTTTTGTTTTGGACTATAGCCCATCTTAACGTTCGCGTTAATAGGTTGCTGACAATTTCGTGGGCCATGGATCCAAGACTTTAGAATTTGAATCTACCTGGGTACAAAATAGAACGCAGTCATCTTCTGGCCCAACTGAGGCCCATGTAGGATTCTTACATGTTCTAGGGTCCTAATATTTTTTTTAATATTAAAAAGCTCTGTATAATAAAAGTCATGACTTTTTTTTTTTTTTTTTTCACGTACATACTTCTTTGAAAATAATTTTGTTCATGATACTAAATATACTGTAGTTACCTTTCCTAAAAAAATTCAAAGCATGATTCACTGTGCTGTGAGAGTTTAGTCCTTTCTAATTGACCCAATTTTTATGGTTAAAAGTCACGACTATGTCAATGTTGAACTTATTTAATTGAATTTGCTGCGAGCGAAAAGTTAAAAGTATTTTAAAATCAATTAATATCTTTATGAATTTTTCGTAAGTCACTACAATATATTTTACATCTTTGTTGGTAACCAACATTTTTCTAAATGTAAAGTCAGTTTTATGATAATGAGTTTTAAAATTAATAAAAAATAATTTATTAAAAAAAGTTATTTTTGGAGTTTGTAAGATGTAAATTTTAAGAAAAGAGAAAACATTGATAGCATTTGGTTTGGCTCTTTTTGAATCTTAACAGTTAAAATTAAAAATAAAAATAAAAAAGTTCAAGTTAAATTATTTTAATAACTTTATAATTTTTTAACTTCAAATTTACTCCAAACTTAAAAAAACAAAATGGATAATGTATTCTTGAATTTTTTTATTTAGAATAAAGAAGGGAGCTAGAGGAAAATTTTAAACGATTTATTGTTTAGTTTTTATTAAATATTTATACATAGCTTCTCTTTTAAAGTTTAGCCAAATACAATTAAACAGGGTGAAAGGCGTTATTTTAAGAAAAAATATATTTAATTACTCCGTATATATATATATATATGCTGCT